CAACCAATGAAGAAAAGTTGGACCATTGCGGGAAATTTTAAAGAACTTGAGATGTTAGACTCATTCAAATGTGATGGCAAACATGAGCATGATCAAAGTAGGGGCAAAGCTCTTAAACTTGCTGAGAACTATACCTTCAAGTTGACCGACATGCTCCATGAGTGTTTCCGGGTAGCTGTGGTGGGCCAAACATCCAAAAGGATTTCACCCGCTGTCATTCGTGCCTGTCCTGCTAAAATGGCTGACTCGCGATTTGCCACAGCACACCCGGCCAGCCGCGAGGCTGCGCTCGAAGCCACACGTGAGGCTAACAAAGAAGCATGGTTGCTCCTTCACAATCGCATTTTGTTTGCATTGGCCATGCGCAATGAAGGTGAGACTCAGGTTTCTCAGGACCTCGTGGATGGATTGATGACCGAATGGACGCCGGCCTCGGCCCTGAGGTTCTACGGTCGAGAGGATCCGCTTGCAGAATATCTCAGCTTCTGCTTTTTGCCAAAGGAGTCCCACATCGAAAAGATCATGTTGCCAGAGATGCCTGTCAATGAAGTAATCTGGATCTTAGTCTCCGACTCGTCATGTGCATTGATCACAGGGCGTAGGAAAACACTTAAGAAATACGATCTGTCCGAGCATTACCGGCAGCGTAAACCTAAGTATGTGACTGAGTTCATCCATGAGATGCTTTGGGGCAAAACTCTGCAGAAGTTGGTCAAACGTGGGATTGAATTGGCCGCGGACGCCCGCGAGCGCTATCCTGATGCCCGCATCAACCTGCATTTGTCCTGGTTCGGAAATGAATTGGTAGGTGAGGATGGGATTGCCCAAAATCCAAATTGGCCGTACGACGGTCCCAACGGGCACTGACCCACGATCATGGATGATTGTGAGCGCCATTTGACTTGGTTTGTCAACAAGGCCCGTGAATTGGATTTGCAATCGGCCGGTCTCACGACCGCGCCCTGGTCTGCTGACTATGGCATCCATCCTATCTTTGACCAGTTCTTTGATGCATTGGAGCCAAAGTTCAAAGCTCTAACCAGCAGCCTGCAAGGGCTTGCCAATCCGAAGTATCCATGGCTACGTGCGAAGGGGTACGCCGATGCAATGGAATTCAGAGATCAGTGGCATTTCGCCAACTCTGAAGAAAATCGCACGCGACTCTCCGCATATTGGACGGCAACTTTGTTTGCCATTGACTGTGGATGGCGGGTTGGCCGAATAGGTTTAGAGCTTGCTCAGTGTGGCCAGGAAACATGGGATGATTTGCGAAGGAACATGAGCGCCGTCCTCGACGAGCTGCCAAGATCCTATCAGGAGACATGTGCAAACATCACCAAGTTGCTTTTTGGAGAGTCCCGACGACACATCACGCCGACGGGCAGGTCATTCACCAAGGAGGACGTTGAAGCTCAACAACCAGACACCGAGGACTACATCGACGTCAAGACGATGCCTTCTGGAACCTTTGCTGAGCCTCCCAAAGATGACCCTCCAAAGGCCGCCGGCGACGGCGAGCCCGCTGAATCCGGCAGAGCAACAATCCTGGTCCAAACGGCTGAGGTCTTGTTGAAGTCGCGACCGAAAGCAGCACCAGTCCCATTGGATGAGCCCGCAGATGACAAAAGAGCCACATCAAGCCAGTACCAGCCGCAGGCAACTGCGCGCTTAGAGGAACATGCATCCGGCCACGTGAAAGCATATTGGATGGAAGAGCATTTGCCTGAATACCAATATACAATGGTGACCAATGCAGACGGGGACGATGTACCCGGGATCCTTTTTGAAGGTACGGCTTATGAACTGGAACTGCTATCGGCATCCGACGTCGAGACCATTGCTGGCCAGATTCGCGTCGACAAGAAATTCTCCGACTTTGCAACCCGTGTCAATAAAGTTTGCAGGGGAGGTGCCAATGGACAAAGACCTTTGGATCGACTTGGAGGATTTTGCCAAAGCCTTCCGCAAGCAAGTGCCCCCAGACGTTTTCATCACCGTCTCAAACCTTTTTGGCACTGCGATGAAGATCGACAAGCATGGCAAGAGTAGGTTCCAATTCTTGTGTGCAAAGATCTCCCATTTCCCTGTCGACAATGGCCTAGGCATGCCGTATTATCCTGTGAAAATTCGTGCAATTCAGGGTCATTCCCAAGCTGCCTTGAAGACCGCCGGGGGCCTCTATGCCAACTCAACCATGGTGTATTGCTCAGACCAAGTTTCCCCCGAGCGAAAAGCCGCCTTCACCGGCGTGCCCTTGTGTGCCATGACTGAGGTTCCTGAAATTGTTTTTCATCGCACGATGAGAAGCAGTTGGAAGAGCATCGCACAGAACGGCCTGATCCCAGGCGGCGGTGACACAGTCAACAGTGGCCGTGCTCATATCTACATGGCAGAACACTGTATCGGCACACAGGGATATCGATCTGGACTAAGAGCAAAATGTCCAGTCGAAGTCAAAATCGCAATGCGGCAAGCAGTTGAAGTTGGGGTCATCTTTAGTCGCACAGAAATGGATGGTATTTTGTGTTCAGAACGCATCCCACCCCAATTTCTGGTCAGCATCTCAGAAGATGGAAAGGTGCTTTGGTCCCGCGCCGAGAGCAATCTCGAGCCCAGCACATGGACAGGCGCGGAATCAGCCTCAGCACCGAAATCCAGAGCGGTCACCCTGACTGCCCGCGATGATGCAAATGACGACCCAATGGATGACACCAGCACGGGGCGACCCGATGCCAGATCCACTGATGACGCCAAATCCACCGATGATGCCGCCACTGACCCAATGCAAGTTGACCAGCCGCCCGCGAGGGCGCACCGTGTTTACATTGCACCAAAGTACTGCGAACCTTTCATGGGCTCCTGCCCCCTCTGCCAGGTCGAGTACGTCAGTGGCCAAGCGACATGCACCACATGTGGATATGAGCCACTCCCAGTGGATGAAAGTGGCGAAACAAGAGAGGCTGATCGACCCAACAGGAGGACCCGTATCCTTGAACGGCGAATGCAGAGTCTCGCCGGGTTCGGAATGTTTGGGAAAATGAGCGGCAGCTTGTTGACGGCTTTGACAAATGAGCAAGCCGATCTTCTTCGCCGGGAACTGGGCCCCAGGGGGATCACATCCGTGGAATCAGCAGTCCTCAAAGACTGCCGCGATAGACACAGACGTGCAAAGGCACTGGGCTACGAGGACGTTGAAGATCGCTTTGCCAGTGACGTCACGTTTTGTGACCGCATCCACGGGGAGGGAAAAGGCCTGCAGGACTGTATCTTTGACGATATGTTCGCATACGCCAACCTCCCGGATCCACCCAGGACCAGAGCTCAGATCTCGGCTGGCGTCGCCGCCAATGCCCAAAATGAAAACTGCTTGTCAAAGTTGATTTTCATGTCCCAGCCTCGAGGCGTGGAAGGGTTCCCAGTTGAGTTCCGCAAAACATGGAAGAAAACCTGGGGTTTCATGTTCGGCCGCCACATTTTTACAGAGGATGAATATGTCAACTACATCGGCCGTCGTGGCGCATTCCGTGGCCTGCTGACCTGGAAGGGCACTGTCCAAGTTCCTTTTGATGGCACTCTTGAGTTCCTCGAAAAGCTGTATGAGGAAAACCTTCCATTGGTTCGGGGCAACCTTGAACGCAAAGAGAAGCAGAGCGCCGCTGCAAAGGCTGGAGGTCCTGGAGGTCAAAAGGCCGACCCCACGGTCGCGCCCACCACTGAGCGAAAGCGCAAAGCCGAAGCTGACACATCCGCCATTGATGACACAGCCGCCTCAAGCTCCGCTCACGCGGACGCCTCACACGTCGATATACCCCAGTTGATCCCAACAATGCACCATTTCTTGCACCCGAACCACCAACATCCAAAGCAGGAGCACGACCATTCTTGGAGCCTGAGACGCCGCCCACTGCAAAAGCAGCAAGCACAGTCACATCGAAGGCTGCAAGCTCCGGTCGCCCGGATGCCTCTTGGAGTTGGAATCGTGATCACTATGGTGCACGCCGAGAATGGAGTTTCTGGCGTGGGGCTTGGTATTACCGTGATGAGGCCGGCGGCCGTTGGATCTATTGGAACCGCAGGTAGACGATGATTTTCTTTTGTAGCATAGCGCAAGATGCGGCATGGTAATGTGCCTTCCTTGCAAAGCTGCGCTGGGTTTTACGGGCTTGAGCTTTTTAGAGGGACCTTTGAAAGACTGCACAAAATGTCCAAAACCAAACAAACAAATTTGGCTACCCGCGAGGGTATGCTCTTCTGGGTTATTCGTTCTCCGCAGTCGTCCCTGCTCGCCCGAGGGGGGTGTAAAAACTCCTGCAGTAAAACCATGTATTGTACATATCATCGTACTACTCTGTAGCGTTGGTTCAAAAGGACTGAGTGCTTACCGGTTTATTCGCCCCATTGTTATCGTAACATTGTTGGCTGACCTGGTAAAATACATGGCCATTTTCCCTGGCTACGATAAATTGCCAGAACGGCAATGAATCATATTGTTGTGCCTGCTTCGGGGTTGATATCTCCATGAATATATGTATATATAATATATAACACAATATTTATTGGTATCATATATATATATACATGTAAATGAATAGGTACATATACAATAGATATTGTATCATTGGTAACGATACCTATAATATAGGAACATTACTTTATATCATATATATAATTATATGTATATACACATATACAGATACATATTAATTTACATTATAATTACATCACATCATAATATCACATATGATTATATATATACATACACACATACATATCACACATATGTATATATATATATATGTATGTATATATATATATATATGTATATATACATGTATACACATATATATATATATGTATATATATATGTATATATATATATATATACATACATATGTATATATATATACATACATATATAAATATATATATATATGAATATATGGACGTGGAAATGAATACATATACATATTTATATTCATTCTCCATCTTGAAACGTGCAGGCCTTGGTGTCCTTGGCCCCCTCCAGCCGTGCGCGGAAGCGCCTGCGGAGCTTCGAGGGTCGGCTGCTGATGGGCTCCGTGGCCCTGGTGCTGGGCGCGCTGGCGGCCTATGCCACTGGCATTCAAGGGGAAAACCATGGGATCCACGGGTGAACCACTTGTGAACCATCCCAAAATGCTGGTTTTACATGGTTTTTACCATGAACAAATGAGGAGTTTACTATGCAAAAAGAGGATAGGATTTGAGCATCAAAGATTGGGGTTTAACCATGAAACATGCTGATTTCACCGTGAAAAAATGTGTTTGAATGGATATGATGGGGTATCTGATTGATAAACAATAACATCCAGTAGACATTTAAAGACTGAGGAAATTCATTGTTTTTTCCCGTAGAAATGATGATCTACAACTACTGTATGGAGGATTTTCCACATATAGTACTATAGCTATGTCAGTTTTATGGAGGGTAACCATGACGGAACTATCATAAGTCCAACCCATTTAGTTCACCCACCACATTTAATCATTAGTTAATCAAAGGGGGGTCAACTAACGATGGGGGATCGAATGGGGAATTTAACTAACTAAGAACCATGTGAAACCAATGTTAATGAGGTATTTGTATATCACCCTTCGTAAACCCACTATTTAGATTGAACATGGAACTTATCATGGTTTCAATAGCCTCCTTTTATCTGTAAGATTAAGTATCCACACTATGAGACACAAAATTGAATAGATCCGAAACTAAACTAGGACTTCTAACGCGGTATGTGATGATAGGACGAGTTTAACTGTTTAAGCACTGGAAAATTTGGGGATGTGACCACTACAAGCATTGGGGATGTTCTTAAGACAAAAATGTTGGCGAACAAGAAATTAGGGATTTGATTTGACTACTACATACATAAACATGAACATGTAGTCACTGAAAACTCAAAGGGGGCACTTAATTTTGCCAGCGGAATCGGGGCATAAAACTATGAATAACATTAGGGACTTGACCACTAAGAAATTGTGATTTATCCATGTGGATTTAATCACTCAAACATTGATTGACAAGAAAGGGCTAAGCCTCATTTTAAGCACTCAATCTGCAAATGGCAACAAAAGAAACATCTCTGGTTAGTGGGTCCCTGAGGCCATTCCTTCGCTGACGGCTGTGCTGTCTTTGCTGGGCTGCACTGTGGGTGTCCTCTTTAGCCGCTTGGGTCTATGCTGATTTTATGGTGGTTTAATGGGGGTATTATGGTGGTTTAATGGTGATATGGGCATATAGCTGGACTTCCATCATTCTCCCAGTTTTATGGTGATCTCATGTGCATGATTTTTAATATATATATATAATTATGTATGTATGTATATATATATATAGAGGGATATGAACAGGTATACATATATGATCTCAGTTTGGAACTACAGGGAGATGATGAGGTTGATGTTTCTTGCGTATACAATTTACTTTGGTTGTTTTTTAAGCAACCACAAAGAGGATTATAACCAACAATACATTGGGTTACAGTACAACCAACAAATTTGGGTGTGTTTGAAATGGTGTATAGCCTCAAATGGCAATTTCAATCGGGAAAATCATGACAAACCAATGGATTTTGGCAGCCCTTCCTAGAGGGGTGTAAATGGCATGACCGCAGGAGGACTCACTAACCAGGATATTGTTACCACATGTTACCGTTGGCCGCAGCCAGTTGCTTGAGCTGATACAACTCAAGCTGTCACATCCTAACTATTTGCTAGAGTGGCTTGGCCGTCACTGTGGCAAACAAACAGGGCACTAGACAAATCTACAGGTAACGGGACTTGATTTCCAATGCCAGGTCAGATTACCAGAACTCTGATTTCAGCAGGTTCTGTTTCCCAACGATTAGTTGGCTACTTCTGACTTCCCCCACGAAACGGCGGCTTAAACATATTAATCACGGGACATGAATGGCATGTGGTATCATGACATCGGTGCTAATTATAAATGTAGTTGTTGTTTTCTATATGGGATTCTCATGTGGATTCAATCATGATGACCCCCTAAGGTTGTTGATGGTTAATGAACACGTGGTTGTCGGCGATCAACAATCCCTTAATGAACCACCAACAACCACTAAACAGGCTTTATGATTGGTGCTTGATACGCCTTAACCCCCCAATAATAGATTAATACGGCCTCATCATTGGTTCTCACTTTATGCTTGATGCAACCCTTCTGCGAGGTCTTTGCCTCCCCGCAGCCCTCTATGCCATGCTGCAGGGGAGCCAAACGGGGAGCCAAAGATTACCATCCGGTAGTCAAACATAGCAATTGAACATCATCTATAAATGTTTTTTGGGCATAATCCTCCACAAATGGGGGATTTTCCATGGCCTGTTTGATTTCCAGAGGGTACCCCCAATATCGAGGAATTATTTTGGATTTATTGCGGATTTGCCCAGTAAAAAGATGTAAAAAGTGAATGATATTTGATAATTATATTAATTCATATTATATATGTTGTTCTCCACACACTTGGATGTTACCATACCAAGCAGGAGCAATTTTCTGTGCTCATTGGTATCCCAATTTTGACCTAGGGATGCCTATCAACTGACCAGCAAAAGAAGGTGACTGAAATTGACTGAAGCATAAATAAAGAAGCTGTTGGACAATGCTCAAATGCTCATGTTGGAAGGTCCCCCCAGCTTGCGGGGTATTTTATTCTACTGTAGATAGGTTGTAACATGTTGCAACCATGGGTGCTTCTACAGTTGATCAGTCGAGTTGAGCGAGACTGCTGATCAGTCAGCAGTTAGCATGTTGAGATGAACATAAACTGGGTAGCAGGAAATCCCTATGGAGAAACAGGGGATTGGATGCTGGCTCAAGTCTCTTGGGCAGGAGTGGTTGAGTGGTTGAGAATATCTTTCCTAGAGCCCTTTTTGATTAGGGCCTGCATCTAATTCAATGGATTGGTTGAAGGAATCTTACAATATATGTATACACATAGAGGTCTTCAGGAATGTCCTGATCTTTCATGACATTTGAAGTAGTGGAGTTCTACATGCAAGAAGAAGAACGATTCTGGGAACATCGAGTCCCACCAGCCACGTGAGGTTAAGACGTGTCTCAAGGACTCGTGGGTACAAGAGGCGCGCTGCCATTCATTTCAATTACCGACTCAGCCAGTGGCTCCACTTTGTTTTTGTTTTTTTGAGGGAAACCCACTGAGTAAGAGTAAATAAGGAGAAACTACAGCAATTTGCCTAGTGATTCAAATTATGTTCCTCTAAACCATGGAGATTTCTAACCATCCCCAACCTTGGATGGGTAGTTTTATCCAAGCTTTAATGCTTTTGGCTATGGAAAATAGCCATAACCAGCAAAAATCAAAATGTGGACCATTAAAGATTGACCATGTAACTTAGTATATCATACCAACAAGCGTTGCAGATTGACCGACAGATAGATCAAACAAACATAGTTTACATTTACATTGATAAGTTGATGCACCGATCTATATTGGAGCATAGCGGATTGTACATGTTTTATGAACATGTACAGCAGTACCGACGTTTTGCTGCTACACCCGCAATCTTTATTTTGGATGGCACACCAATTTGCTGCCAATTTTGAGTGTCAAACCCTCCCAGGGTCACGACTAATTTCCTTCGATGTACTAACAACACACTATGTCATCTTTTGTGTATTACATGCTATGTACCAAACGTGTCAATACTATTTATTCAATACTCATATATCATGGATGTGCATTTAAATACTCATACTGTATATATATATATATAGATATAGATTAATTTATATTAAACAATCTCATATGTATATATAACATCATTCTCAGGACCAATTGCTTATGTCATCCCTAATATTCTTATTATCATCATTGAATTGTTGTATCATTGTTGCTATCATTATCCTTATAAGTATTGGGTCGTTTTTATCATCTTTATCATTATATATCATTATATATATATATATTATTGTTGTGCTATTGTTTTTGTTGTTGTGATTATGCATTGTTGGGCTTATCATTTGTAGTATATAGTATCATTGTTTTTTTTTTGTATCATTGTGTTTCATTGTCATACATATGACCGTTGTCATCATTTTTTTGACATTCTGTGTATTCTTAATATCATCATCATTATTGTATACCTTGTTTCATTGTTATCATTATTATTATTATCCTTTCTCGCTACTGTATCATCATCATACTTGTTGCTATTTCCTTCCCCTCCTTTTCGCCACACGTACTCGCATATGCATACATGCATGCATATATTTGCAGCAACCCCACAAAAAGATAGAATTAACACTAATTTCAGTAGGTTCCCCCCAAAACTATTCCAGTCGGACTGTTCAACCTATTTCACTCGGACTTGACTTTTACATTTGTTTTGGTGGGTTACCCTATAGGGTAAACTACCATAGATCTTAAGAAAAAACACCATTTGTAGATCATTTCCGAACTGGTTCCCCCATGGGTTTTCCACATGGACGAACCCGAACCCGAACTCACTTAGCGCCCCCTCAGCAATCGCCTCATGGACCCCGAACCCGAACTCGAACCGATCAGTTCACGTTCCCCACCCCTGGCGCACGCAGCATCCCCAGGGACTTGGAGGCACCGCTGCTGGCACCGCAGCGGGAGACGGGACCACCACCGGTGTCCTTGCCCAGCAGCGACGTGGAGTGGACGCTCCAGTGGCACCTGGGCTGAAATCCGGGCGAGTAGCCCTCAGAATTGGATGTCTTAAGAGGACATCACCAGCCAATCTCCCTCGGTGTGCTGAGTCCTTTGATGCTTTAGGGGAAAAAAACATTGGTCAATCGGTCAATCCACCTAAACTGGAAATATGCATATTACATACATACATACATATTTATATATACACATACATACACACACACATACATGCATTGCATTGCATTGCATTGCATTGCATTGCATTGCATTACATTACATTACATTACATACATACATGCATACATGCATACATGCATACATGCATTGCATCACATCACATCAGATCACATCACATTACATTACATTACATACATACATTACATACACTACATGACATGACATTACATTACATACATACATTACATACACTACATGACATGACATTACATTACATGACATTACATTACAGTACATTACAGTACATTACATTACATTACCATACATACATACATTACATTAAATACATGACATGACATGACATTACATTACATTACATACATACATATATATATACATATGTCTGAAAATGAGGGATACCCCCAGATTGGCAATTTCATGGGGAACATGGTGATAATATGTGATAACCGTTGATGGGGAATCGGCAGTGGCCCGCTGTTAGACAAAGCTATACCCTGTCCAAGAGTAAGATGGGCAAACCCTTATCGCTGTCTATACCTGGCTAGAAATATCTTCTTACGATATTTTTTTTTGCCATGATATTCACCCAGTAGGCAATTGATGGCAATAGCAGTCTTAAGGAACAACCATTTGTTTTTAATGAAACCTTAGTCATGTGTTTTCCGTTTGTGGATTTCAACTGACAAGAACACTTCTCTAAAACCAGGGATATTCACCACAGTTACTGGAGGTTGTTCCCCTGGTTTCCATATTTAGAAGGAACAAGGGGCCTTCATGCCGTAAAGCTCATCAGGAATCCCCCAGGCAATGGGACGCTGGGAGATGTGGACGATGCTCATATATGGGCATATATAAATATACACATAAAATCAATGTCATAAATACATACACACATGACATGGCATTACATTACATACCATTACACACACATACACATACATATACACACATACACATACACATACACATACAATTATACACATATCCATATACACACATACACATATAGATATACATACACATACACATACACATATTCATACACATACACATATTCATACACATACACATATAGATATTATATTATATGCATATATATACCCAGTTTTTGGCGACGTCACTGAGATGTTTCTGGCAGCTCAGGTTACTTTGTGCCGCCGTCTTCACCGGCGGCTTGTTCGTAGGAGGACGGGGGAGCAGCTGGGAGCGGAGCCTAGGGAGATTCGAGCGGATTAAGCCAGAATAATGAGGATCTTACTTACAAACCCAAATGGGTATGTATATATAGATATATAGATACATACAATTATACACATGGAAATTATGAATATAATATATTATATATGTAAATATTATATAATAACATGTAGTTGCTATGTCAGTATATATATATATATATACACTCTAGAAATGACATGGGGTTGAATGTTTCATATCATGTAATTACATGTAATATATAGATACATCTAAGAAAATATATATACAGACACACATCTAATAATGTGTATGTATATATATATGGATCTAGAGGGAAATTGGGAAGGAGTTACCCACTGGTTCACAACCTTGGTTTTTGTAAGGCCTCCAACTGGGTGATATCCCGTGTTTAAGGGCTATTAAATTTAGCCGCGGATACCCCTGCCAAAATAGGGATATAAGCCCAACAATCATGCGGTATCATGGTATCATGCCTATATCTTCTACACATCTTGGTGCCTCAACCACTCACCAATGGGACCAACACTCATCTCAAACAAAACCTACTGACTGTAAGTCTATTTACGCAAGTCTGTAGTCAACATTTTTGCATTTCTAGATTGTTGAGTTTAAATTGTTTTTACCAAAAGCACCAATCTGCAAAAAATATCCTTTGTGAAAGTACAGATGATTGATCGTTTATGGAATTGCTAGACAATTTTCAACCACAATAGTCTGAAAATAGGGTACCCAAAAATTTAACGGGTAATCAGCATGCATATATATGTTCCATTCAACTTGCTATATGATGGGTATACGATGGTATACGGTCCACCCAATTTTCAGTCAAACCCATTATTGTTTGAATTTTACAGTCTAGCATATTTTGTGTTTTTTAGACACATTTACACCATCATAATATTATCATATTCATTCTTTATTCCATCCAGATGCCATATGAGCATTGTTCGTGGCGCCCCTGTCGGTTGATGATTAGTTGGGGTGTGATGCTACCCCCAAAAAACATTGGGGATTATCAGAATCTATGAACTGGGAATCCTGTCCTTGACCAGCCAGTATTTGTTGAGATTATCCAATAATCTTCCAATGATCCCGTTTTTTTTATGATATCACTCCTAATCAGTACCAGTATACTTCCTAAAGGAATCACCATGGTTGATGGTAAAAAATCATATTCAATCCTCCAGTGTTTATGCTTCCAAAAAGGAGGATGTTTAATGCTCCATATTATTCCTACATTTAAGGAATCCTCCATTTTTGATGGTTTTTCAATGAAAATTTCAATCATACTACATCATGAATTTCATGGATCATCAGATCATCACCATTTTTCATGGTTGAACTCACCATTTTTCCATTGAAAGGCATCCAAAGGCCATATCTTTTGACCAGGCCTGGGACTCATGTCCTGGGTACGAGACCCTTGCTGAAGAGCAAAAAAATCTCCACCGGGGCGTGCCACTGAGCCGGCGATTTTAAGGGAAAATGATGGGAAATGTAGGTAAAATCCAGACGGCGGGTTTGTTTGACACTTTTGGCAGTGTGTCAAAACTGTGTACCCCTGGTGAACATCAAAATAGCTGGTAAATGGATGTTCATCCCCCTAATAATGGTATTAATAGGTATTGATCCATACCCTTTTGGGAAATGTTGGAAAACGCAAAACATCTGGTGGTAAATCATCATATGTTCCATTTAAACATGTTTTATGGGTGGGTATTGCCGCTCCTTCGATGCACAGGTATATTGATAGATGAAACCTTGCTTTCAGTTTGTTTCACATATTTTTTTTGAGTCATTTCATCATTATATAAACTATTCATTTGTTGGGATACTTATATATGTTCGACATTTATTTACGTGGTCACCATCTAGGTTCCTTGTGTGTTGCTGGCTTTATTGAAATTCTAGCATTTTTTTTGGGACATCGCCTTACGAACATGAGGTTATATGGATCGGATAGATTGTGGTGGGAGGTTATTAATTGCTTGTTTGCGGGTATGTGAGCGGTACGCGCAGTACTAAGTACTAATATATCGATACATACCTAAAACATGTTCACCTACACAGGTTTTTTAGAATCTTTGGTTTGAACCAAACATGTGACAACTATCCAGACATGGAAATGGAAGAGAACGACGACAACCAACATGGCTCAGTTCACTGGATGATTTGGAAGACGCCATGTGGTACCCATTTGGAAAATGTCGTCCCAAGAGCTGAGAAGACCAGAACATCAATTCAACAATGGCAAAGATGTCAGCCTTGTGATCTCAACAAAGTTGGGATACATATTTCATCATATTTCTGGGTAAATTATCACATATCTCACTGCCAGATAGTTACCGGGTAACTATCTCCATAGGGCCCATATTTTTTTTCAGGTCAGTGCTGGGTGATTTCTGATTTCTGCCGTAGGATTTCCTTCCACCCTTGGTGGTCTGATCGCCAGACCCTGATGGGTCCGGATGTATCAATTGAAGCATCAAAATGACAGGGAACAAATGGACATTGAAATGGGTATGGGTCAATACCTACTAATACAATTTTTAGTGGGATGAACATCCATTTACCAGCTATTTTGGGGTTCACTAGGTACCAGGGTTTTGACCCATCCCCAAATTAATGATCCAACAAATGATCAACAACAACCCTATGACTTGAAATTTGTTGATCAACAAAATTCTATTGACTAATCAACTAATTTCATCTAATTTCATGATCAACAGTTCCTGGGAAGTTTTGTTGAGCACATCATTCAACTGTGCCACATTCCTCACTGCTGCTGCACCTTAGCACCTCGGCAGCGTCGCAGGAATCCGAAGATATTTTTTGGCGATGTACAGCTTTGTTGTGGCTCCGGTTGTATATATATATATAAGTATATATATATATTATATTATATATGTATAAATATTATAAAGTTATTATTTTGTATATATATACATAGTGATGTGAGGTCAACATTGGAACTAACTTTACCAATTAAAGATGGTGATTGAACAAGAAGAACAACATGAACATTCTGTACTATAGTTGAAAGAACTGGCGGGACACAGTGGTTCCAAAATACTGACACATGGGGTAAAGAGGGGGGACTCACTCACCAGGGTCGGAAATCAATCACCAAGGAATCAATTGCCCGATTGAATTCATGGTAGAGAAGCAGTTGCCATTTGGTTGAAGGACCCTAAATTATGGGTTTGGCTGAAAATATGGAGCCCCAAATTTGATGGTTTATCCTCATAACATTCCCAATCAAAATGAGCTAATTTTACGGGTCTATCAAAACTTTATTTCGTCCATTTTTCACATCCCAATATCATATCCAATTGGTTGTATCTCCCATTATGTATACGGTACCAATATCTCATCACATCCCCGTGTCACACGGCCATCAACTCCTCCATAAATTTCATGGTTAAATCCCCATGAAGTTTGACAAACGGCAGAGGTCATGGTCACCAGCAGTGAATGGATCAAAAACCTGGACCGCTCCGGGGTGGATGATGGGAACTTACGGGAAACCATCAGAATGACCATGGTCAAATATTTTAAAAAAGCATTGTTGTTTGGTGAATATTATGAATATGTTCCCGGAAAAGAAAAACACAAAATTGTATGATTCTGCATATGTTTTATTGTATATATAATATAGTAGATATGCTCAAATATTTCTGAGTTTACAGTCAAAGATGGGGATGTTTCTGGGGATGTTGTTGTGCTGAGATAGCGGAGATTTAATGGGATTTTAGCGGGGAGAAATGGATGGTGACTATATAGCGGTATGGTTTTCTATGCGTATTTAAGGAACTATCATGAGAACATACACATTAACATACATTATATAACTAGATATGAAGGAATATATAAGCAATGTGATAGAAGCTATACAGCAGATACAGCAAATGGTATATTTCCCTTGGCTGGAAAATCCAATTTTGTAATAGGCAACATATTTATGGGATATATATATATATTTGGATATATATATATATGGATATATATATATATGTACATAATCCATCCACCTCAACGGGCTGGCTATTGTGTCAGGTTAAACTAGGCCTTAAACTACTAGAGGATCCAGCCAACGGTCTGATTTGTTTTAACGATTTGCCATGGAAAATCACAATGTTTAATTGGTAAATCCTCATTTTTATCACCGAACTAAATGGGCCATGGCTTTCAGTTCGCAAATTGTTAAATTACCTGAGGGTAATAGAGAAAATGATGAACTTTGGGAATTGATTGTTTGTTCTGTGCCCAGTTTTAAGCCATGGCCACTTCTATCCACCTGTTCATCCAGGGGCCTGAGTTTTTGGATGGCCAGTTCCACTCATGGTTTCCACGGCATCCAGAAGTGTTGAGTAAACATGGGATTGTATCCAGATATGTACATCAATGTGCTTTACATGATTTCATATACAATACACAATAATATAATGTACATATGTATGTATACACAACTTACATGTACCCTATGATAACACTTTGCAATTCCTGAATCCAGGACTGCAATTCCTCGGTCTGGGTGACGAAAGATCAACGAGAATCAGGCTGGATAGCTGTATTGGTAGAGGTTAGCAAAACGTTGAGTGAGTGAGCGACTTCGGAAGCATCCTTTTCTCAGTAGCAACTTAGCTACCTTTAGGGCACATGCACGTCTAGAGACCCGGGCTGGTGGGTGCGTTTGCTTAAGCTGACTGGTTTGAAATTTCTCTGTGGTGCTTTTACATTTCTATCCCCATTGAGACGATTTTGACAAGTGACTAAGTGACTCACAAGAAACCAAGTCAACCAGCAAGTGTTCCTTGTATTTTCTGGTTTGTGGTTTTAAATCGTATGCTAATCTAATATTCAACATCCACCTAGAAACCTTGGCTTAGTATTGGATTATCGAGTCTACTTCTTTTGAGGGACCGCATGCAGGGTATATCGGGATTTCACTGATCGGCAAAAGGACTATGTTCATCCAGTTTCCTTCCCTACAGAAATGTGTTTGCCAATTGCTGAAGAATGGTAACATGGCATCACAACAAGAACAGAGACCCAAGGGATCCCATGGGTTCAGATCAATTATATACTTTGATGATTCTTCAAAAGCTCATCGGGCCTCGGACATCTTCCAAAAAATATGATTGTATGATATATTATGATATTATTATCATAGAATTTGTTCGCCCACTTTTAAATATGTGTAAATAGATATATATATATATACATGTACAATATGTTTATATACATAACTTTCTTTAAAACAATGTAGGAGTGCAGAAGATAGGTCCAGATACGGATGATTACTAATCTGGACATGAATCTAATCACAGTAGGTCACAATATGTAGATATGCACCTTTGGTTTCTGGCAGCTCCCCATATGTTTTGAGAGACCAAACTGACCAAACAATCTCAGCTGCCGACAGGTCTCAAGTACCTAGTAGAAAAACATGCCAGGCTGGTAGTGTGCTGATCGGCAACGCAGTCATTTGGTTGGGGGGGAAACGGCTCTTGTTCTTCTTGTTCTTGTTCTTCTCGTTCTTATTCTTGTTCTTGTTCTTGTTGTTGTTGTTGTTGTTGTTGTGTTTGTTGTTTGTTGTTTGTTGTGTGTTGTTTGTTGTTTGTTGTTTGTTGTTTTTTGTCGTTGGTTGTTGGTTGTTGGTTGTTGGTGGTTGTTGTTGTTGTTGTGGTTGTTGTCGCTGTCGTGGTGGTATAAGCGGTGTAAGGCGTGTAAGCGTTGTAAGTGGTGGTTGTGATTGTGGTAGTGGTTGGTCTCTTTGCGGTTTTTCCCCATGTTCTTCTTGCTTTGTTTTTCTTGCTTCTTCTCATTGATGGTGACTTACAGGTGAACCATCCCCAAAGTTTATTGGGATGCGTTCGGAAACATAGGCGTGAAACATCACTCCTAAAATTGCTTTGAGGGATTGTCTCAGGGGAAAACATGTACCTTTAAAAGGGGTTCGCCTGGAATTTGGCCCTTGCTCTCAATCGAACCTGCTCATGGAACATTCCCGTCTTCCAAAGCAAAATCATCTTACAAATTGCAAATCACCCATTCCTTTTGAACCCTTTTGAACCAGGTTACAAGTTACATGTATTAAAACTGGTGCAGAAATCACTTCATCAGTACCAGAGCCAGCCCCAGGCAGGGCGCGGCCATCACCGCTCGGACCTTGTCCGGGCTCATGGCCAACGGGGAGGAGGAGCAACAACGCAACTCAGCTCTCGGTCGTTGTGCGGATGATCCTGGAAGGTGGAAAACTTGTTTACCATCTGGTTATGACTAACATAGCCATGGAAAATCACCATTTTTAATAGGTAAACCATCTATAAATGGGCCATTTTCCATGGCTATGTTAAATAACCAGAGGGTACTGTGGGTAAAACAATGCCATAAACCATCCCCCAAAATCACCATATACAATATCATATATATATATTATAGGTGATATATATATATATATATAGACCATTCCCAAATGGGTGGCTTACCATTGTTTTACCCACATCAGTAAGTTTAGTAATTAACTGGGTTACAACTGTACTTTACTCCTATGGTCGTTACATTTTATGGTTTGTAACTCAGTAAACAGCGAAATTCAGGCATATTTCAGGGATCGGTCAAAACGTTGGAACTGGCTGGTTTCGAACATCTTTGTTTAATTCCCATGCCTAGTTGAGATGATGCTCCCAGTTGACCAGTTGACAATACAGCACCCTGCACTGGACAAACATGACTGGCTGGGAGATCCAACATTCTTATTGCGAAATCATTTATGACATATCACTATAATGTGAATCTGCCATCAAATTCTTACATTCGGACACGAAAAACAGGCTTCCTACATCGTTCTCCTAGAGAGTGATGTCCTCGTGCCAGGTTAGATGTCAATTTTTTTTCACCCAAGGATCAAACCGTTGGGCCATTGGGCCATCATGAAATATCATGAAATGTTTGTATCCCTCCAAATAATCCAAATAATCATTGATAAAAAGCATCCACGATTCAGTCAAGATTCAACAATGATTTATTGAAAAGATGAATGACTCATGACTTATGATGCATTGGAAATATTTGGAAATTTGATCATCTCCACATCTCCAAATGTCCAGCGGCTTTTTCCCCAAGGACTTGAGGCTCAAAAAACTCAGAAGCCAAGCTGCACGACAGGACCACGACAGGACGACTTCTGTGGAGCCACAGGTGGAGACACATTTTTTGGGGGTCTGAAATCGGGATATCCCAAAAGACACTACAGTTGGATGGTATCTGAAATGTTGAAAAACTAAAGGTGTCAATTGGGATAACTATATTTTTTTGTTTCAACATGTTTCCCAGTGGACGTGGAGCCGTTTGATCAGTTTGCATCGCCAGTGTACGAAAAGATGCGGATATTGAATCTTGTTGATTGAGAGCCAGTCCTTCATAATCCCCAGCTGAGCCACCCATCGAAAATTCCAACCTGTTACCATCTTTAAACCAACCAGTTTCTCTCAGATTTCAGGTGTAGTCGGTGACCCAAAACCATGGGGAGTCAAGTCAGGTCCAAGAAAACGACTTTGGTGAATCATGGCAACGGCTTAGGAAACGACAACGAGAAGGAGAAGTAAATGACCTGATGGCAGAGATGGCTCGTTTAGAGGAAGAAGGTGTGACTTGGCTGCGGTTGGTGGTTTCGAATATAACACATTGTTTCCCTTATATATATATATATATTATATTACCATTAGTTAATCATTGATCACCATTAATCACCCATAATACCCTGAATGGTGATTGACTTGTCTCAAGGGGGCAGTTTCAAACCACCTACTTGATCAGCACCAGAGGACCCCTATAGAAATTTCACCATGATATCCCCATTAATCACCAACTCTAATATCATTATACTATTACAATACCCATGGTATCTATTTATTTTGTTTGGGGACTATACAATATCTGAATATAATAACTGGTTGGTGGTTTGGAACATTTTTTATTTTCCCCAATAGTTGCGATGATGATCCGATCTGACTAATATTTTTCAGGGGGGTTGAAACCACCAATTAGATAATCATTAGAATGGGATGCCATTGTAGACATATACGTCGCGACAGGGCATTCTGTTTTGCGTTGATAAAAACCGCTTGGTGAAGTCATACAGCTGCATGAAGATACCTTTGTATGTTGCGATTGTGCGACTACCTTTCTCCTTATGGATATGGGTCAAAACCCTATACCCCTGGTGAACATCAAAATAGCTGGTAAATGGATGTTCATCCCACTAAAAATGGTATTAATAGGTATTGATTCATACCCATATAATCATAAATCCTGCGTTAACATGGGGGTTTGCGTTGAACATACATTTTTTCCAATACATATCTTCCAATTTGGAGATTCGATGGGGTGACTTTTTGCCGCAATGGAATTGCAATGATTTGTCAAGATCAGGAATCCATTTGGTCCACTTTTGTGTTGCTTTACATGGGTCGAAACTTTTGGGGTTACTTTTTGGGATGGATGGGGTGCAGAGTTCCATGGGCCGGGCATCCCCGGTACAATGTTGGGGTGACTACCTGGGATCCCTGTAGCAAGCGGTTTCAAATGGGTTGGGCCCTCGATAAGGCATCGTGTTTGACTTGTTTCACTGAATACGAATCATGGAATATGTTCCTAATCAGGTTCCATAGCCTCGTCCAAGGCGAAGCCTTCCACACCTTCAGTGGGTCTCTTCGCACGTCAGGTGGGGGTTGGGACCAAGGGAGAAGGGTGCCGTTTTGTGGGATTTCGGGTGGTTATTGGATGATATTGGTATATGTTGACTATAGTTTGATCGACGGTTAGATGTGGAAAGAATTTGCCAGTTTGAATTTGATGTACTTGGATGGCTGGATATAATTACTGTAGTATAATTAGTGTACTAGGAGGCCCGACTGGGATCTATCCTGGCTGTGGCAATGCCCAATGCTGACTCAGCCGGCAAGGCTTCATGAGCAGCGGCCAATTAATGCCTTCACTGCACTGATTTTCCGAGACGTCAGACATTAACTGAAACAATGGATGTTTTAACGACACCTAGATGCAGTGTTGTGAACAATGTGATCTGTAGACTTTGGCGCGTAATTAAGATATGGACGAGTGGAGTGCAGTGCGTCTTTAGCATTTTAGCATCGCTATGAAAACCCAGTCCTTCCCGTGGTACTCAGCAGAAAAATCGCCTGTAACGTCGCTGATGTGGCTAGTCCCTATACATTCCTGCCCCTAATGTTGCAGTGGTGGATTAGTTCACTTGGGGCACCCACTTAGGGGAGTTTATTGTCAATCCTCCAGGGGGCGGGAATTTTCCCTCTTGACCATGTTGGTGTCCAGGTCCACGTTCCTCTCTTGCCTTGGGGTCATTGTCTGCCAGGCAGCAAAGGATGCCAAAGGAAAGAAGCCATTGATTGCCGCTTGGTTGCTGGTCATCATCTCCAATGACTCATTGAAACATCCTGAAAGCACCTGGGAAGGGTAGAATATCATGGGTGGCAATCTTATTAATATTGTAATATATTGTATAATCTTATTTAGGAAATTACACTAAATGAGAATTACTTAATAAGATTACTTCATGCTTCTTAGGTTGTTCTCCTCATTTTTGATGGGTAAAGCCCTCTCCAAGTCCCAACAAAATCGGCACATCGAGCACCTCGGCAGGTGGTCAAGAAGCCCAAAGTTGACGAGGCGCCAGGACCTGACAAGGTTACCTACAATAGATGAGTGATGTTCCAGTTGTTGAGATATAAAATTATATGGCTATGGATCAATACCTATGAAAATACCATTTTTAGTGGGATGAACATCCATAAATCCCAGCTATTTTGATGTGAACTACAGGGGTACTATTGGTTTTGACACACTGCCATATGTTCCATGTGTTCTTCAGGGAGTATCAAGTCTAAGTATGGGGGGATAGGGAAACCTGTCCAGGTCGTCCCAGGCTCGCAGATCGGACAGTCTTCCCGGTCATGATTCACTCATGATTAATGGATGATTATGGATGACTAACCGATGCTTAATGGATGATTAATGGATAATCTAATCATTAGATTCTACTTGTATATCTTGCATTGAGTTTTGTATGGTCACAAAAAACATCCAAAATCCAACTGGACGTTGGCATAATGAGGGAGGGGGTTACCAAAGTGAATATCGTGAATCATAAGCATCTTTGTTATATGATTGATCATAGTCACCACCATGATCATCACGATTGTCACCGTCCTTTCTCGATCCTCATCGAACTGCTGGTTTCATGTGTAGAACGCAAACTTATTCAGGAAGATCCCAATTCATTCATAATCCTATCATATCCATTCATATCCTACCCCCCTGAAAGTTAAACACATACTATCCCAAGAAGCCCTTGTTTCATCTTCGAAGCTCATGAAAAATGGCTCAACCACCAGTCCAAGCGTCAGTTGCAGGCTCCAAGTGAGCCGAAGAAGGAGGAGCAGCAGGCAATGGGGATATCCCAATAGCTGGATGGTTTATTTCATGGAAAATCCTATGAGAAATCGAATGAAACCTATGAAAATTTTGAACATGATCTAAAATTTGGATGATTTCGGGGTGACTTTGGAACCCCCCTTAGATGATTTCCTTCTGCATTGTGGTTCCATGTGTTTCTCCATTATGCTTATTTACAAACTATAAACTGCTGTATTTAATACAACCATAAAAGTGAGATGATGTGAGATGTCTTCCTGCTCGGTAGTTTCACATCATAAGCATGCAAGACATTGACCAAACGAAATAGGTGTCCAATCAGCAAACGTCAAGCCCAACATTGTTTTGTCTCGTCGGTGGCCTCATGTCCAGCACTAAAACCATGGAATGGTTGATCCCACTTTATTATATATATAATTATATATATATATATGAATGGCATGTTTTGTTTCCAGACGGTTTACCACTAACAGATACTGTACCTCTTGCAGTTCCAGGTCGTTACACAGCAATGTTTGTGGTTGTCTCAAGATTGAAACCAAATTCTCCATGCTTTGGACAATAAGTAGTTGTTTTTCCGCGTGTTTTCCCATGTTTTCATGTACTTTCCTATACCCCCCACCAAGGCCTTGGTTCCTGCCAGCGAAGCCAGCGGCTTGTTGGGAGCATACAGCAGTAGCGAGGAATGGGCGGCATGGGAAACCTCCAGATGTGACATTTTTTTTGTGGATATTTGTGGAGGTTTCCACAATAATTCATAGATATTTGTGGAATATTTCTGCACTGTTCTCAACTTCTGATCCCAAAATGGCGAATATGGTTCCGTCCCAACCTTGCACTGCACATTTTCATTGACATATATGTGCCTAATTACTTGTCTACGTTCCTTCTTACTAAACTCACTTATTTAACTTATTTTCTGATTTTCTTCCTTGACTTTCTTTCTTGGCTTGGCTTCCCTAAAGAACCAGTCGCTAACTATATAGTCTTGTTTGCATTAAAATTCTGTCATACTTACGTTACTTATGTTCACTTTGCAAGGTTTCAATCCTTCATTTACCTTGCGAAGGTTTCAACCTTGCAAAACCACTGCAAGAATTAACAGGATTTAAGCACTCTAGCCGGCTGGGTCGCAAAGCTTGGATACACCGGCACAGAGACAATCAAGGCGGATGGCTCCGAAAGTTATATAAGAGGTGATTACACAGCAAACTAAACATATTTTTTCAATGGAGAAGGGATTACTGCAGCTCTTTGATTGCGATGTTTGAAGGATAGTAAGTGAGTGTATGGCTGGTGCATATATATATATATACGTATATATATATATACTGTATTTGTATGTGTGCATCATGATGTATATATATATATAGGATCATATTGGTCATGGCCCATGTGGAATCAGTTTGGGCCAATTCTGTATAGTTATATAGATATATACACATATGATGTTTCACTTTTCTCATGTTGGACGCCGCGCAGGAAGAAGAGGACGAGGAATCAAGTGAGAGATGACGGCTGGTAGACCCTTGAGAGGTGCCATGCGGATTCTGATCAAATTTCAGTTGTGCAACTATATAGTAGCAAAAAAGTAAAGCTACACTCTTTGGGCAACTTATACTGTCTGTATATAGCGACCTCAGACCAACATCGTCATTATAGAAACCAATGTTGGAACCATCATTTATGGTACTCGTAATTAGCTGGTTATGCTTTGTTATAACCAAAATTGGTTACAATGAATGATTTGCCCAACATACTGTTGGTACCTCGTTCTGCTGCAGCTCTTGTGCCGTGGTTGCTGGTCGTTGTGTACATAGACATCATTTTAAGCAGTTGGAAGCGGTTGACGACAGGCTGTGGTGATAGGAAAAAGGCGGATGGTCATCCCGCAGGAACATGTTGTAGGAACGGCGATATACAACTCGAATCCAAATGATTTGGATTTTGAATTGATATGACTGGCTTTGTACTTTTCCTGGGTCAACCTACCAGCATCATCAAATTGCAAGGATAACACTAATGATAAGAATGAACATGACACAGTACCATCGTGATCTTTACCCCCCGTCATATGGGTACAAATCAGTGACCCCCACTGGGTACGCACAGGTGTTGTTCATTCAGAATGCATTTGATGGGGGTACCGTACTCAGTTTGGATACTGACTTCCTTCCAGACCATCCCTTGGTCTCTTCGCAATATTCGGTAATGGCTCAAATGATACACCCTCCAAACAATAACAATCAATAACCAACAATGGATGGTTGGAATGCTAAACGTGACTATACCTCAAACAAAAAAGTTGCTGGAATACCAAAAAGGTATCTAAAATTATAATACCCTCCCCAAAAATGATGGTTGAATAATTACTCAAAATGACTACTTTTATGCCAAGTTTTGGGCCATGGCATCAAAATGTCGCCGAGGTGACACGAAAAGGACCGGTAGCCATGGTGCGGGATCCAAGCATATTGCCCGCAGCCAAAAAGAACACCCATTGCATAAAGCATATTGACAGCCATGTGGAATATATATATATACATCTAATACTATTGTATATATATATATACATATGCACTCACTTGTGGTCAATTGGATGTACATGTGTATATATATAATATTATATCTATACAACACATCTCCATGGATCCATTTGGGGTTGACCTTCTCATTAAGTATTTGGATCTATAAAGGTCCCAAAGTTTGAAACGATCCAAAATTAAACTGATAGAATTTGTCTATTCAGGTAAAGGGGCATTAATGATATGTAGAATAGTTCGCAGTCCACGTCATGTCACGATAGTCCTTAAAGCTGGATCTTCAATGGGTCCAAATTGATAGCCCCCGGCCCCCGCTTAGGGCTTTTCGTAAGCTGGCTGGTACTGTAACTTGCCTCGCTTGTTTTTTGGCTCATCTTGTCGCTGCCACTGTTGGAGGGAGGTTTTCCATTGGAATCGCTGGGAAAAAGATGGTAACTACCAGGGACATACGTGACATCCCCAACCTTGGACGGGTACAATAGTTTTATCCTTATTATTTTTTTGGCTATCGATGGAACAGAACACAACCATAACCAGAGTCTTTTGTTGTTGGACTACCCAAGATTGATCATGTGGAATACAGAATGTGCTCAGCTTGTTTAGTTCTGGGAGACGACACTTTATATTCTTCAGACCATCAGCCCAATGACCCAAATGAACCGGTCAAATGCAACATGAGTGATTGCTCTATGTATATTTAGAGTATTCCATGAAAAGATATTAACACGCAATCATCAAAACAAACTCCATTTTCGTAGGGATTCATCTACAACTACAAATACAACTACAAATCATAAAGTCCCTGGCATGGCCCTTGATCCTCTGGCGGAGGCAAGGTAGGGTGTGCCTGAAGATGGTGGATTTACACCTTTAAAATGCCATGTTAAAATGGAACAGGATGATGAACCATCCTTTTTTTGGGGAGGGGGGCGGGTACCCTGCTTTCAGACAAAGCCACACTTGATCGAAAATGACGATTGTTATTTTTGGCTATAAGTGGCGATTACAATAATATACTGTATAATATATATATATACATATATATGGAAATATTTGCCTATTGACGATGCCGGATGACTGACCATCCCAACAGTTTTTCTTTGCGGGTTCTCAAGTTGCTGCAACAGTACGTAAGTACTCGTGCAATTTCTGCGCCGTGTAGAGAACGGGCGACAGCAAGCTGTGTGCCATTTGACAATATGTTGGTCTCACGAGTGATTGACAGACACTTAAAGGAAGTGCCTTTGCTTTAGAAATAATGAGTGTTTCTGAAACTACAAGATGATTACTTATATTATATAGCCAACTTGCCAGTTTTGAAATTCATGTTCTTTTCAGGTTCCCCAATCGATTTGTGCGTCCAGGACCCCAGAGCTTTGAATTGGGAGGTTTCCATAAGGAACCATGGGCTACCCCAAAATGAATGGTTTATTGGACATCCGATTCAATAGTAATATACTATAGCTTTATATATATACAATAGTAATCCATAGTAAACAATAATATATATATATATACACATATATATATATAATCAAATGGATGATCTGGGTACCCCCATTTTAGGAACCCCACTTGGCATTGACTTGGCATAAGGGCGAACACATCCCCTCTGAAGCCATGCTGCATGGTACTCGGACACATCGCTTGCAGTCAGCATGATCTGTCCATATCTATCGCATGTTTGACTAGATAATCATAGATAATAGATCTTCACCGATACATCTATTCAGAATGATTCGATAAACAAAAAACTCCATAATAATCATGTTCCAATAGATAAACTCTGCAGAATAGATGGCACATGCTGGAACTGTTCGAAAAAAAAACAGCTTTGATCAGCTGAAAACAATCAGATTGAATCCATTGGAGGCAGCCACCGCCGCGCCATGTCGTTACCCTCTGGTCTATCTGGTCGGTGTATGGGCTCCCATCGTTTGGCCTTGATCAATGTTGATCAACATCAGGATGGAATTGTGGAAGAGATGATTCAGCGGAAACTCGTCCAACAAGCTTCACTGGCTCGGATGCTGAGAGCATATTTTGAGATATTAATGATGTGTTTCTGCAGGCTTAGCGGCTACTCCCAGGAAAGTGCATAGTTGAAGCAATTCTTGGAGATGCGCAATGGGTGTGATATCAGCTTTGTGAGTAGATCTGGATTTTAAGGCTGACAGGTCTTTACGGACTTTATGACCTCAAGACTGGCATTTTTTCTTGTTGCAAAAAACCAGCCATTCTTTTTGGAAGGCCTTGTCCATCATTGGTTGCACTGCTTGGATGCGCCCGGAAGTTGCGCGTTTTGGTTGTCATATCCTCTGGCGCGACGTGCTTTCCAGAACACGTCTTGTTATTATTGAACTAGCAGTTCCTGTGTATATATACGTATATATATTGTTTATATTTTCATGTGATAAATTATTATGAGGCTTACGCCTGACAGCCGGGCGCCGGCCAAAGCAGACCCGTCAGCCCGAGCTGGGTTTGAATGCGACCCTGGTGGCGCACAGCTGGGGCGAGGTTGCGCCTACCTCGGTCTAGGTTGGCGCCATGTAGGTGGCTTTACCAAGTTGTTGTGGTTGTTGTTGTTGTTGTTCTTGTTGTTCTTGTTATGGTTGTTCTTGTGCTCGTTGTGGTGGTTGTTGTTATTGTTGTTGTTGTTGTTGCTGTCGGCGTCGTCGGCACCGTCGTCGTCGTCGTCGTCGTCGTCGTCGGCGTCGTCGGCGTCGTCGGCGTCGTCGTCGTTGTGTTGTTGTTGTTCTTGTTGTTCTTGTTATGGTTGTTCTATACCCGTTGAAATTTTTGTTACTAAATCTGAGGCCTCAGGGCCGTTACAGAATGGTTTTTGGCTACCATTTTGTGCAAAATTTTGACCCTGGGTTCTGCCATCTTGTAAGTGGACCCCCCCCGGTACCGGAATTTTGCATTGGAAGTGCGAGTTTGTTACCCTCCAGTCCCGACCATTCTGTCGGAGTCTGGAGGGCTAATCAATAACCACTACAAATTGGATGGATTCAAAGCGTAAATGGATAATACTCAACTATAGCCCCTACAAACTGGATGGAATCAAAAAATCACAGAATAATTTTCATAGCCTTGGGTGCAGGGCTTGGGAGAGGCCTTGAAAAGTCTGATGCGTCTGAGTGGTCATGAATGCTCGAGATGAGTCACATCACATCTATTTAAATATATATATATATGATATATATATATATAAAATATTATATATATAATATAAAATATATATATATATACATATATATATATATATCGATATATTTATATTTTTTGATTATGACATCCAACGTTGTATTTAATGTTTAGCTTGGCCACTCAGACAGCGTCACGCCAAAACAGACGGATGAACGCAAAAGAACGGAAAAAATGAACCGCGACTCGGGTTGGCCGGGCTGTTGCAGGTTACTTCCCAGGGATCCTAGGATAGTGCGAGTATAGCCACCCCCAGTCCCCACCATTCTGTAAAGGGCAAATCGAGCCAACGGATGCGAGCGGATGCGAGTGGAGCAAAATCGGTGACTCATTTTGTAACTAGGGGTCAAATAATATATATATATATACATATATATATATACATATATATATATACATATATATATATATATATCGATATATTTATATTTTTTGATTATGACATCCAACGTTGTATTTAAAGTTTAGCTTGGCCACTCAGACAGCGTCACGCCAAAACAGACGGATGAACGCAAAAGAACGGAAAAAATGAACCGCGACTCGGGTTGGCCGGGCTGTTGCAGGTTACTTCCCAGGGATCCTAGGATAGTGCGAGTATAGCCACCCCCAGTCCCCACCATTCTGTAAAGGGCAAATCGAGCCAACGGATGCGAGCGGATGCGAGTCGAGCAAAATCGGTGACTCATTTTGTAACTAGGGGTCAGATAATATATATATATCGATATTTATATATTTTTTGATTATGACATCCAACGTTGTATTTAGTGTTTAGCTTGGCCACTCAGACAGCGTCACCCCAAAACAGAC